GCATTCTAAACTCTCTCTTTTTATCATTTCAGGCTCCGAGAGCTCAACACACTCAAGGGTCACGTCGAGTCCGTCGTGAAGTTGAAGGGACTCGACATCGACACAATCCAGCAGCACTACACAGTGTGAAAACAGATTGCTTATAAACAAAGAACAGAATGAACTACTAATTCACTTTGCTGTGCCAAGGAAAGAAAGGAGAGAATGTTTGAGGGAGAGACAGACAAAAAAAAAAAAAAGAACATACAGAGAGCTTGTGTGACTGCCTTGTAATTTCCCTAGTTTTTGCTTACTATTTTTCTTCCATATCTATTATTGCAATGTAGTAACAAAACAAAACAAAAAAAAAAAACATCAAATTTCTACCCTTCTGCTTATATTGCATTCTGAAAAGTTCTAACTTTTTTGGGTTGAGGCCAAAGTTGTACTTTTGTTTGAAAAGTCCAGATCTTGTGAGATTGGAAAAGAGGGAAAGATAGAGAGATTTTTGTGGTGTGTTGTGAATTAGAAGGCATTAGTAGCAGTGAGACCCATAAAGAACAATAATGGCTTCAAAATCAGTCTCTTTTTCTTTTAACCAAATTCTCCACTAAACTAAAAGAAAGGAAGATGCCAATCCAATTGTGGTAGAACAATTTTTGCTGGCCAATGCTGTTATGTTGGGGCCATTTTCTCATCATTATTGCCACATTCAACCTAACATGAGGCTGTTTTTTTTTCTTTTTTTTTATAGAATTGAATTTCAATTTTTTTAAAGTATTTGTAAAGATGTTTTTTTTTTAATACTATTTTAGTTCGTGTACTTTTAAAACATTCATTTCGATCTCTGTATTTTTAATTTTTGGTTAATTTTAGTTTTTATACTTTCAAAACGATTGTTCCTGAACTTTTACACTTTTAAAAAGTAGTCATTTTAGTCTCTATTTATAAAATTTTAGCATAAATTTTATACACAATAGAAACTCTTCAATACAATTTTATTGCTATATTTAAAAAAAAAACTGTGAGTAAACTGTCATGTTAAAATTGTAATCTAGAGATGAAAATGAAAATGAAGGGATCAAAATTGTCACTTTTGGCCAAAAGTTAAGAGACTAAAATAGACGCTTTGAAAGTATTAAGGACCAATCTCCCTGACCAAATCCTCCCACATTAGGATTACTCGTTAATGGTTGATCAAGTTTGATAGATTCGCCCTCTGAAACAAGAAGTTCTGGTCCTGGAGGGATAATATCAACCACTTGACGCCCATCGATGCATCCACTATAATTATTTCATATCCTCTTTTTTTTGTGTATTATTTTGCTTACTATACATGGTATTGTAGTATCATCAACATTATTATTACTCTTACTCTTGGATAAATCTGACCCCTTCCCCTGTTCCCGCCTACAAGGGCCAAAATAGATAAACCAAAATTTGAAAGTACATGTACCAAAGTAGTATTTAAACCTTTTTTTTTCTTTAAAAAATTATTAAAATTTCGATATGTTTCCCTCATCTAAAATGGGAATGAGGATGAGAATGGATCAATCATTTTGAATGAGTGTATACCGACATAAGTTTAGAATACGGTTCTTGACTTGTGGGACTTATATCAAGACTAAGATGAGCTACCGACCCCAACATTTTTCTTATAGGTGAGGTCAGACATTCGAATTTCTACCCGTAATATTGGAATTATTGATATTCTCATAATAATGAGATTTCTAAATTGATGAGAATGAGATTCCCTTAAGAAAGGTGAAGTATCTCATTGTAACTCAAAACTTTATATATTTAGAACTATCCTTTTATCTCCACTTTGGTATTAGATTTCATATTTAATTTAGATTGATTTCATTTTGAATTTTAGTAAATAAAATTAATAATATATCTATTTGTGTATTCTAATTATACCAAAGTAAATTTTCGTAAGCACAGTAATTGAAATTTGATTTCGATTCTACAATTTTCCTATTTTAAGGTCGCCCAACATGGTAAATCAATAATTGATGATTTTAAATAATTTTAGAAATAGAATAACAATCCAATGATAATCGGAAAAAAAATCCAATGATAATCAAAATTAGTCCGTCTCCAAAAAAAAAAAAAAATCAGAAAAAAAGATTCAGAAAAAAATCAAAATTATTTAGTGAATGATTTATAATTAAAAAAAATGATGTTGATGGGTTAGTAATCAATTTACTTTCTCAAAAAAAAAAAAAAGTCACAGAATAACTCAGCAAAGACCTGTTTGATAACATCTTAGGTTTCTTGTTTTCTATGAATTGCGTTTTAGTAACTGTCTTATTGTTTCTCGTTCGTTTTTTTTATAAAAAAATATAGAAATATTGATCAGTAATAATTTCTTGTTTTTCTTTCTCTAAAATTTTAAATTAAAAAAATATATTTTATTATATTAGATTTTGAAAATTTTTATGTTTTATTTATTTGTTTTTATTTATCGTACATTTTAAAACCAAGAATGATAAAATAATATTTTTATTTATACTTTGGAAAAACTGAAAATGAGAATAAGAAACCATAAACTTGATTTTGTTATTTTCGCCCAATTTCGGAAACATTTCTTAATATGAGGAAGGAGAAACATACATAATTATCAAACAAAAAATAAAAAGCATAAAATTTCCCAAACGAGTATTAAAGCATCTACTCCTCCTTTCGAGATTGGAATTTAAATTCTCCCACGTATTTGTACTTAAAAAAAAAAAGAAAAGGAACATAAGAGTTTACTTAATTCATATATACCAGGACTATTTTTACTATTTATTCAATTGTATCCAAATTTTGTTCAAAAAGAAATTTTTGACTTAAGTAGGAAAAAGAAAAGTTAAATTACAAAGGTAATCTCTCAACATTGATAGTTGTGTATCAATTTAATTATTAAAGTTGAAAGAGTTGTCAATTATATTTTTGAAATTTCAATTTTGATTTTAATAAGTCTAAATCTGAAAACATTGTTAGCTAAACATTTTTTTTCTTTTTTTCTCTTTTTTAGAAGGTATGCACTTAATTCGACTAATAAGTGATGATTTAACCTAATGTGTCCCAAAAGAATAGACAAACCAGATAGAATAAGAGTGATCAAACTAAAAATTTCGACATGCTAATTGCTAAATACATTTAAAATCTTTTTTTTTTTTTTGCTAGCTCATCTTTGTTTTATCCAACTCGCCTACTCGTTCCTCTCTCATTTGTTCACATCGTACCTTGCATTATAGTCTAGCTGGTTAACGTGTCAAAAGGTCGGAGGTTTTCGAAACTTTCACCCTTACATGTTAAACTAATTAATGTGTCATGTCAACATGCTAGTCTGGACATAGCTTAGTAGTAAAGACATGCATGCTTACTTCTCCCAAGAGCATAGCTTATAAATAGCACGATTAATAAGAATCACAATAAAATATTATTTTTTGATTTTTTTAGTTCAACAATATGTGGGGGTGAGGATTTGAACTCCAATCTTTTGGTCATAATATATGGAAGGTGAATCATAATTAAAAGATTAAAGATATACTATTGAAACTTTTTAAAAGTTGAGGGACTAAATAGAAACCGTTATAAACTAAATTTATAATTTAACTAAATATATATATATATATATATATATATATATATATATTTTGGTTTTAAGAAACTAATTACAAATAGTCATCATCCAGAAGTATATCAATGATATGTTATTGATTTGAGGACAAATAATGGATGGCGTTTTTTCCTTTTGCAATAAATTGTTAATTTATATAACAAAGTAATAGATTTAGATGTTGATTGAAATATATCATTATTGATGATAGGCTTAGCTAGAGATTTTGATTAAAACAAATTAATCATGAAGTTCATTTTATTTATTTATTGAAATTGAAATTATATTTATAATACTAGATTTGTTCTAGTTGGCCCTTTTCAAAAAGTTCATTTATTAAAATAAAATTAAAAAAAGACTCTAATCTTTTGATTTTTATTTGTTTATTTTGACTTTATTTTGATTGGTCAGTCTGTGACATGGACAAGAGAATCCAACCACACACATTATTCTTTATTGAATTGTCAAAGGGGTTGACTTGTCTCATATTTGTGCACCTCAAACTTCCAAGAATATGGTTGAAAAGTCAAAAATAGAATCCAATAAATTTAATTTAATGAAAGAAAAATTCTAAAACATTTAATAATTAAAGTCTCATTGAACAATATTTTGTGTTTTGTTCTAAATTCAATCTAGTTCATTGTTTTTCTTTATACTATTGAAAAATAATTTACAAATCCTAGCCAAATTTCCAAATTTCAAAAAAGTAAAAGCATATACTTTAAAAACTACTCTTCTTTAGTTTTCAAAAATGTGTTTAGAGAGGAGATCATTATAGAACAAAGAAATTTGGATGGTAATTTGCCTTAAATTTAATCAAATTTTACATATTCACGGATGACGGAGTCAGAAAGGTATACAAATTTTACAATTTCACATCTTTTGATATTTTGATACGATCACTTTTACTATTGTCAAAATCATTTCTCTTTTTATTGATGTGCCAAATTAAAATTTTGATTTTAGGAAAACTTAAAATCACTTCAGACCACTTGGATTGTGATTTTGGAAAATCTATTGTACTTAAATTTTTATTTCAAAATTAAATCACTCATCCTACTATCATACTCAAACACACTCTACTCGATGGTTCATTGATGATTTAGAAGTAATAAGGATTGTTTTTTCTTTTAGAAAAAGAAAACCTACGAGTTTAAATATCGAGTAAATTTCAAGTAATTCAAAATAAATGTGGGCCCCACATAATAAAATAATATTTCCAACTCTTGAGACTTCATAATGTAGCCAAATATTAATAATAATAATAAAAAAAGTACCTAGAATTATTTTTATTGTGAAATTCACTACCAATATATCAATACGTAAATTAAATTAAAGTATAAATCAGTCTCTCACATCATTCAAAAAAAAAAAATTGAAGTTAGGTAAAAAAATTACACAATACCAAAAATACACCAAAAGAGAGAAATTAAATATATAACATATTAAATTGATACCCCTGCAAATCCATATATGTTGCTTCTTTTTCTTTCCACATAAGAAATGAAAAAGAAAAAAAAAAAAAATCAATCTGTGTTTGTATCAACCAAACATCTAAGAACATTCACCTGCAACTCAAGACATTTAATATAACTCTCAGTTTGTTTCAACAAATCATCTTCTTCCAACAAATCTCCATTACTATCATTATTATTTTCACCACCTGGTAAGATCTTCCTTAGCTTCACCAATCCATTTTCCATCTTCTTCTTATCTTCTTCTTCTTCTTCTTCTTTTTCTCGAGAAAATTTCAGTGTTTGGAGGGAGAAATCAAAGCTATTGCGCCCATTGCCATTGCCATTTTCTTGTTTCTGAAGAAGCTTTTGTTTGAGAGCATGGCCCCATGCAAATTCTGAAGCAGATAAAGCCATTGCCATGTCCACTTCAAACTTCACAACTTTCTGCAAATTTTGATGATTTGGAGAGATTTTTGACAAAGAAGCCATCAAATTTTTGGCATAGTTTCTTGCAAACATGATGTACACCAGCTTGTTTGGTTCTAGGGAAAATACCCTTCTTCTTTTTCTCACAATTTGCCTTCCCATTCAAAATAAAAAGGGATGAGAGAGAGAGAGAGTGGAAAAAGCTTGAGAATTTGACCTAGAAATGAAGAAGTTGGGGAAAGAAAAATGGTGGGTTTGGGGAAGAGAGAGGGGAGAGGGGAGAGTTTTTAAGTAGGAAAAGAAATGGAGCATGGGACTTGAGAATTTTTTGAAACAAAGGAAAGAGTGGTGGTTGATATAGTTGGAAAAGTGAAAAATCTTATCCCCAAAACAAAAGGGTTTATATTTTGAACAGTAGTGAGAGTTTTGGACATTATTATTACAACAACACCCATTAAAATTCTTTGAGCTAAATTGCACATTTGGTCCCTGGAGCGTACACTAGTAGATTCCTATAACCGAAGTTCGTTGTTTGAGTTGAGCAACATTGTCCCAAGCGCTTGACACTGCGCCATCCTCGGATGTGTCTATTTATTTAGTCCTTTAACTTTGAAATTTGAAATCTTTTTAGTAGATTCTGAAATTTTGAAACTATGTTTATTCCATCTCTATACTTTTAATATGTTTCCAATAGACGATCCTTAAATTTTCATTTTTTTTTTGTCTAATAGGTCTTTATCCATCACTGTTATGTTTACATCACATGCTAACTATATTATTCCCCCAAAACTCATGTCTTGATTACCTGTCTACCTGTTAAGAATCAGAGTTTATAATAGACATGTGTTATCTCTTTCAATACCAATTGGTTTTAAGATGGAATCCATGAATATTAATATGGTATCAGAGCCTAAAAGCTTAAACAAGAAAAATGGGATCCAGCCAAGTCTGATAAAACCCAAAAGAGGCAACATCTCTTGAGGGGGCACATGTTAAGGATTCGAGTCTATAATACACATGAGCCACTCCTCTCAATACCAATTGGTTTTGAGATGGAACTACATGAATATTAATACTACCCACCAAAGCATACTCTAAGCTCACCTCAATAACAAGATGACTATAAAGATCTCAAATAAACAAAATCTTAAAAGTTCAGTGACCAAACTTATAATTCAACGACTTCTTAACATATGAGTCAAATGTCGTCAAAACAGACGGTGTGGTCGAGATCGTCCAGACAGACACATGATATATTTTTTGACGAGGAGAGAGAGAGTTTTATGAGTTACATTTTTGTTTGAAAGAGGTCTCACATGGTGTCACATGCATGGCTTTCCTTAGGGTTTTTAAACCTACCTGAAGAGGGACCCTTTGGCCATGTGCCAAAGCAAACAAAAACACCAAAACCCCACTTTTAATGCCTTCACATGACTCTCTCTATATATCATCAATTCTAAAAACCTCTCTCTCTATATCTTTTCATTTACTCTTCCACACAATGCCTCTCTCAAAAACTCTCTCTCATCTCTCATTTCAAATCAAAACAGCTCATTTCTGCTATTTCCCAGCTCCTTTTTTGACCACAAATACAATATATACATATGTGTATAAATCTCTTCCAATCCCAAGTATTGATTTTCAATAAAAACTTGGGTTTTGGGTTCTTCTCCATTTCGTGGACTTATTTGTTTGTCCTCAATCACCTTTCTGCAAAAGGGTTTGGTCCCATTTTCGGGTTTGTTTGATTACGGTTTTTGTTTTCATGCTTTCAATCTTTTGAGACTGTGCACGCGCGTTTGGTTTGCAATCTCACTTTGTGGGGAGGATTTTAGAACCCTAGTGAAATTTTAAGGAAGGTAACAAGAGTAGAGTTGAATTGATGATAATAATTTTGTTTTTTATTTCTACTTCGAAATAAACCATATACACACTTATATCTACCGACAATTGTGTTTGTTTTGTAATCTACTTTATATGAAAAGATCATTCTCAGTTAAATTAGAGAAAACTAAAAGAAAATAAAAAATAATAATTTTCAATTTTTTTTTTATTTTTGTCTTTTAAACTTAACCATACAAGGGCTAAAATTAAATGCATATTATGAAACAACGCCTTGAAAATTAATGGTTAGATAATATTTATAGATCATCCCGAATAAAAATTTGACAACTTTACTTCTAGTCTCTTCCACTTGTTAAAATTTTAATTGCAGTTTGAATGCTGATCGGTAAGCACCTAAATATTTCTCATTAAAACCTACTTCTTAAAACCACGTCATTCCTACCACCCTACACAAAAATACATAGATTAGTAAAATGTACGTATGTATGAATTAAATCAACTTAGTTGACATTTCATAAAAGTTTACGTAATAAAATAAAATGTGATTAAAAGGTTCTGAGTTCAAATTCTCACCATGTTTACTAAATTAATATATATATATATATATATATATATATATATATATATATATATTATACACAACGATTGAATTAGGTTCTAAGAGCTAGCCAGTCTAATATATATCGACAGATTTTCTAAAATTCTTCAAATAAAAGAAAAGAAAAACCTAAGGAAACTTGAAAAGATAAAGAATAACCATAGTAAAGTACCAACACTCGTACATAAAAATATCTGCAACATAAATGAAACACTAACTATCTTACAAGTACATATAAGAGAAAAAGTACTCTTCTTTTTCCAAAATTCTTTTTATGTGTCCAAACATCAAGAATGATTTGATAATTAAATGATGTTTAAGAACTACCTATTTTAAGTTTAGCACTTCAATTTTTTATATAATGTGTCACGTCTCCGATGGAAGGGACGATATGCCCACATTGTATAATTAGTTGAAAAAGGTTATATCATCATGTTCAAATATTCGTCGTTTTATATATATATATATATATATATATATATATATATATATATATTCCGCGCTAGATTATAATTTTGATATAACATTTTCGAATAGCTTAAACGTACGATACTCTCGTCCCCATTTCATATTAATAGTCAATGAATTCGGGTTTTGTGTGAATACCCAAACTCACTAATTAAAGATATGATTTTTAAAGTTTACTAGTGATTTAACGATCCCACCCTACCGACTTGCTAGGCCATGATGGCCTAGCAAGTGTGGCTTAGAAACATTTGAGAATTAAACTGGGAAGTTTCCAAAATATCCCCATTTTTTTCCTATTGGGACCTCAAGGGGAATAGCCAAGAGAGGAAACAAAATCTTTCAATGATTTAGGGTTACAGAGAAATGCATGTGGGCAGTGGTGGCCAGTTTGAATTTACTGTGGAAAGAGCCTATAGTACACACATTTCATTGCAATAATGTAACATCTCACCAGCTGCATTCAATTTTGAGCCTATTTTTAGATATGGTATGATTTGGCCCATCTATTTGAGGGGGTTTGTAACCATCTCATGAAATTTATTGCATCGTTTGGACACGGTTTGTTCGCACGGAATAACGATCATCGATGTGTCCAAAGTTATGGATGTCTAGGAATCTAGATGACTAGGCATTTGTATGTTTGGATATATGTTTACTTTAACGAGATTTCGTTCATGGAAATCGAAATCTTGTGAGAGGATGTTTGTGAACGTGAGATAGTTGTCTCACAGCATGCAAGTAAGCGAATTTCATCCCTTACTGAAGTTCAAAATTCGATCTAACAAAATGGAAAGTTTAAAACTAAAATTGACTCATTGAACCTATAGGTCGAGTAAAACGTAAAATTTTCTCGAATCTTTTTAAAATCAAATACTAAGTTAATATTTAAGTTTATTAAACAGAACTTGCTAACATAGACTAATATCATTATTTTCTCCTATGAATTAGTTTGCATGTGTTGAGTGTTCTCTCATTATTTTCTCTTTTGGAGAGAGAAGAGATACGTTAATTCAAATATGTGAAAATTATATTTTACATGTGGTTTATGGGAGATAGAATGAAATTTTAAATCACTTCTAAATTTAAAAGTTTAATAAAGCTAATATATATGCTAAGTTATGTTTAATCTTTTATATATTCTCAACGCTTCTCTCTTTGGGGAGGTTTGGGAGTTAGCACGAGACCCAAAAAATAATCACTATCAATATTAATAATTTAGGAAAAATATAATATATTATAAGAGTTTAAACGTAAAGATCTCTATGACAACCCAAACATAGCTACTCAACTAGTTAAACATATATTTCTGATCAGAAAGTTGTGTGATTGAATATCCACCCCATAATTGTTGTATTGAAAAAAAGTAAAACTTTTTGTTCTTGTACCATGTTAAATTACCACTAAACTAGGTTTAAGTAAATAATCTAATTAAGTATATTTAATCTTATTTTATAAATTTTTAATCGCATCCGTATTCAAAATTCAAAATTATGTATAGAAGATGATCAATAGGGGAGGCTTGGTCATGGAGAAGTTTGGTAAGAAAACACATTTAGTTCTTGTATTTTCACTAGCTAAAGTAATCTCACACATTTAGTCTTCTGAACTTTAATTTGTAATGATTTAGTCTTTGTATTTTCATTAAAGTAATAATTTAGTCCCTAAATTTTAATTTGTAACGATTTAGTCCCCGTAGATTAAAATTTGTAACAATTTAATCCTACCGTGAAAAATCTTATTAAAATTAAGTGTCAAGTTTTATCATATAACAATTTAATCTTTCTAATTTATAAAGATATTGTTTTCTCTTTGACCTATATTTAGATTCTTAAAATCATTTCTCAATTTTTTTTTTGGAAGTTTTTAAATTCTACTGCAAGCTACATGAGGTGCTGGGGGTTGGCCTTCTTCGAAGGAATGAAAATGTGGAGCAATAGATTTTGTTTTCTAAAATATTTTTGAATATATATGTACTTTTATAAAAGTAATTACAAATGTATAACATTTTATAAAAAGTAATTATATATAGAACATGAAAAAAAATCATTAATAAGTGATTGACTTTTAATATATACTGGTAAATCAACATAGTTATTTGTTAAAAAAAAAGAACAAAAAAGAATCAACATAGTTATATTTTATAGGACATTCAAATATTGATTAATTATCTTAGATATAGAAATAATCAATTGTTTAGGTTAACTAAATTTATTCCACTCAAACCATCTTTATTAATTAAATAATGAACTCAATCCAATCCAGTCATAAAATATTTAGATCGGGTTAATTTGAATGGTTCGAATCACTCATTCTATAACAAAAAGTAGGTGCTAATATCTTAAATATTTATTTACATATTTTGAACTATTTATTTATATGATGAAAAAATACGCTCCAAAAACTTTAAAAAATTATTTTTAAAAGTTTGGAAAATAAATAATCCTTAAAAAATTAATTAATTAAATAAAAATTAAAATAAATATATCCGATAAGTAAAATAACTTATTTTAAAATTAATAATAAATTTGGATCGGTTCGGTTCAACCCAATTTGGTTATAGGTAAACTATTGAACAACTCAACCCATAAATTTTCATTCATTAACTCAACTCAATCTAACCTAAACAAACAAATTTATAACTCTAACTCAAGAACTGAATTAGATTAGATTAATGAAGTTTTTTTAGATTTATCGTCTAATTTTTTTTTTAATACCCCTAGATTTTTCTATTCAACCTCTCTCTTTTGTCCAAGACCCACCATGACATGAAAAAACTCTATACTTTGTACCCCTATTTTCCTCTCCCTCGTGACATATGAGAAAAATTTTGCTTTCTCTATTATTATTATTATTATTATTATTATTATTATTTTGACTAATTTACATTCTCTTTATTGGAGATATATGTCAATTATTGTTGAGCTATGTTCGATTGTTCTATAACTGTTTTGTTGATTTACTTGCACGAAATTTAATATCTATATAGTCCATTGATGTTTGACACGTGAATCGAAATGTTAAAATAAAATATAAGTACACCCAACCCAATATTAAATAACCAAAAATTAGGAGACAAAAGAAGAAAAAAAAAAGAATATCACACCCAAATTGATAGAAAACCACCCAGAACCATGAATGGATAACAAGTGAACTGATGATAAATCATAGTGAATCACAGTATTGGATTAACCCGCCAAACTGAATTGATAAACCATCGGTTTATCTGTCTACCGTGGTTCGACATTGGTTCTCCTATGATTCGGTTCGATTCCCTGTAAATTTGTATTTTTTAATCGGTTCGACTATCTTGCTCCAAAACCGAGCCGAACCAACCCAATTACACCCCTATCAGCGATGGACTATACCATCTTTTTAATACAACAAATGGAGATATGAGATTCAAACGTATGCCTTCAACAATCTAAATCAATCTAGAAAAATTTATTACACAAGTCAAAATAATTTTTCATAAAAGTTAAGAAGTAGAATTAGATGTTTTTAAAAGGGTAAGAAATGTAATAAAATAAAGTTTAATAAATTCGTTGGATCATCAAACATGAGCTTAGCTCAACTATAATCGATACTTGTTTCTAATCAAAAGATCCTGAATTCGAATTCTTTTCCCAACCTGTTATACTAAAACAAAATAAGATAAAAAAAAAATCATTGGATCAAAATAATATTTGGGTTAAGTTGTAAAAAATGTGTTTGAATGTATGCATGTGGTTTTAATCCTTTAATTAATGTTTTAAAATTCTCTCAATATTTAAATTTCTATTCAAATTAGAGTAAAACCTTGGATTTACGCTTCTCACTTTTCTCCATCCCCTTCTCTCTCCTACTTTTTCAATCTCCAACCCTCAATTTCTCTCTCTCAACTCCGGCACCGCCCTAGCCACACCAAACCGCCGGCGACAGTCGCGAACGACGGCGACGGTGCAGTAGCAACCCCAAGCAGCATCGGCGTTGGCGAGACCCACAACGATTGAACCGCTCAAATTCGCGCCCCATACATCTAATGGCTGCTTGAAAAAAGGTTAAATTCTTTCGTTCCATAAATTCCCCCAAATTAGCTTTGTCATTTCTTCACGCGATAGTTCTTAAAGTTCAAATGTAAAATGTGTTGAAAAGTTTGAGAAAACTTGCAATCCTCCAGCTTTACTTTGCCCGCTGAGTTTACTAACTCTGAAATGCACCTGAAAGTTTCTCGCTCAAAGGCAAAATCAAACACCTTTGTATTCCTTTCTCTGTCTACCGTTCCTTTGAAATTTCCTGCTTTTTGTTTTTTGGGTTCTGGAACCAGTGAGTTTAACTAATATTGGAGCTCTGCATACCATGTCATTTATTAAGAGTTTCAATTCAAGTTGGAAAGTAGTTCAAATTTGTTGGCATTATAATGTTATTTTCTCTAATGGAGATCTGGGTTGGGGATTAATTTCTATATTAGTAGTGATATTGTTGGAATGTACTCATCCAGCTATGGTGGGGATTATATAACTCGTGGTGAATTAGGTCAACCATTCTCTAAAACACATGGTTATTGGCTTGGTACACGTTGCTATGAACGAATTCTATTTGTTTTTAAATGACATTTGGTTAATAAAGAATAACATACTTATCCTTGGGAAGTTCTAATATTGCAGCAATTATGAGATTGAGTCTTAATATTGACATCTTAAATTTTATATAATTATGGTTTTGTCAGCTTTTCATGTTTACGGCGGCTTGATAGTATTCCTTGCATTATTCCGGTTTTTTTCTTCATTTTAGGATGAATCATCTTTGATCTGGAATTCAAGTAAAGGTGAAAGAAGTTTGAAGTTAGCTTCACTCTCGCAAATTATTCTACAAAGAACTTTAAGATTTTAATTTATTCTAGAACTTCTGTTGTATTAATCTTTTTACAGATTGATATTTGATTGATTGACGAATCGTAATGAAACAGATTGAATTGAAGAAACCCTCGAAGCCCATTTTTCCCAATTGAACTTCCTCTTCTTCTTTGTGTTGATTCTTCTGCGTGAGATTGTGTGATTGTATTTAGAGAGAGAAGGTGAGAACCAGAGATGTCGTACTTGCTGCCGCATCTTCACTCAGGTTGGGCCGTTGATCAAGCAATTCTCGCTGAAGAGGAACGGCTTGTGGTTATTCGATTCGGCCATGACTGGGACGAGACCTGTATGCAGGTTCTTTCTCTTTCTTTTCCTTGCAACTTAGGAAAGATTATCCTTGCTCAAGTTACAGGTCACAGTGTTTGTTGTTAAAAGTATAGCTGAAATTACTCGGAAATATTTCTTTTATGGTACCTTACTATTGTGCTACAGTGCTAGAGCCATTGAGTTGGTTAATTTGCTATTGTCATTTGGCTTGAAATGAACTTTAGTTGTGCGTTGGTCGATTAAAGAGATTCTGAAAAGGGACCTTAATCATTCAGTAAATTAGATTCTATATTTTTTTTTGTAGATTATTTCTTAAAGTATTTTCGAGCCATCATTTTCTCCAATTTGTGTTTAATGAAATTGCTTCTTTTTCTGATAAAAAAATTACTTTCTTTTATATTTAAAGAAAATAGTTCTTTATTTTTATTTATTTTGTAATCTGTAATGCTTGATGAGTTGTCTCCCATGTGTGTAAAAATCATGAGGTTTAATTTGATTTGATCAGATTTATAATTCTTTTTGTAATCCCTTTGGCTGGGATATCCCATCTCCCTCTTTTTGCATATGTTTTTCTGCTTTAATACATTCTCAGTGTCTTATAAAAAAAATAATAATAATCCATTGATTGTAATCTATTATCCAATTTTGCTATGCTTAGCATAATAACAAATTGATTAATTTAGGTATATAGATGCTACTTTAAAAGTTCATTACTAACTTTCAAACTGATATAACTTCATTGGTCATGTGAGAATTTCAGTGATTATTTTTGTATTGTAATTAACTTAGATAATCATTTTAGAATCTTAGTGCTTATTTTTGTATTATGATTAACTGAGATCATTTATGTATCTATGGACTAAAGTTGAAATTTTAAACCTATAGTACTTGTCATATTGTGTAGCTTTTAAAGACTTTGTTTTATTGATAAGTTGGGAAAGAAAAACTCAACGATTCATTACATAATTTTTAACTGAAAAATGAAAATAATGAATTTTATAGTTCTTTTAGAATTGTATGAAGTCCCGAGTTCAAATATTACTGTTCATCATCGTATGTAATCTTAACCCTGTTGCGTATATCTTTTTCAAATTCCTTATTCTTCTTCTTCTTCTTGCTTCCAGTGGACTGAGTTTGATTCTAGTCTCATCGTTTTTAGTCGGTCGAGGGTGTTTGGGTATTCTCTCAATTGATTAATTTCTTAAGATTGGTACTGGGGAAGTTTTCCTCAGCAATACAAGTTTGTGCAGATCTAAGAATTGGTTGACCGATTAAACCAAGCTCAGGTTGGCTTACCTATTGTGTCCTTGTGTGTGTTGGCTTCTCTATTATTGTCATGTGTTCGGCTGCAACTATGCTCCTTAGACGTTTTCTATAATCATACCTTCCTACATATTTGGCACATCAGTCTCATCATGTACCAGAAATGAAGTTCCCTCATTAAAATTGTCATCAACCCACTTGCCTATTGATCTTTAATCTAGTATCTAAATGTCGCAGCCAAAGCAAGCATAGTTCAGTGGTCATTGACCAAGAGGTTGTAAGTTCAATCTCCCACTCCACATGTTGTACTAAAAAACAAATGTTGTAACAGACTAATCAAAGTTTGAACCCATAGTCCTTCCATCTTAAATGTTAAAGATTATGAAGATCTTTGTTCTCTTTCCCTTGTTATATTTATAACTGCTATGGGTGGTAGAATTTATCGTTTTTTGAGATGTTTTTATCTGATTGATATGTTTTTGATCTAGATGGATGAAGTGTTGGCCTCAGTTGCAGAGACAATTAAGAACTTTGCGGTAATATACCTTGTGGATATCACGGAGGTTCCTGATTTCAACACGATGTACGAACTTTATGATCCTTCCACTGTCATGTTCTTCTTTAGGAACAAGCACATAATGATTGATCTCGGTACTGGAAACAACAATAAGATAAACTGGGCGCTCAAGGATAAGCAGGAGTTCATTGATATCATCGAAACGGTCTACCGTGGAGCAAGGAAAGGACGTGGTTTAGTCATTGCACCCAAGGACTATTCAACCAAATATCGCTACTAAGATGTTGTGCAAGTTCTTGTTGATGTCTCAGAAATATGTACTATATAACATTAAAGTCAGTTTTCGATGTCGGTTTTTGTTACGACTTCTCAAAACATTGAATCATTGATGAACCTCTGAAGAGGGTATATAACTGTTTCTGAAGTGGTCATTTTATTATGGCATAAGGTTGAATAAGCTGTTTCCTTGTCTATTGATGATGTATTGGAATGTAAAATCATGGAACTAAATGATTTTATGAACAAACAGATATGATACACAAATATAATGTTTATTTACCATATTCATTTGTACTTTTCCATTCTTTTGAAGTAACTACATATGAATTTTAATACGAATCTATAAGTTATTATTAGGGAATATTTTCACTTTTTACCCTTCAACTTAGATGAGTGAGTCCATTCTTAAACCTTAAATGCTTTCAATTTCATTAATTAGAACTCGAAACTTTAATATGTGTTTTATAATTAATACCGTCTCAAAACTAAATTTGATAAAATTGCTCATGAATAAAACTACACAAAATTTATCTAACAAAAAAACAAAATTCATGTCAAAATATGTCCTCCCAAAAAAACAAATATTTGAATTTAGCTGCAAAATCAAACAAATAAAAGATGCTCAAACTTAGATAACAAATAAAAGATCCCCCACACTTATTGTACTACATTAGTCCTCTTTTCCAATTATAACAATGAGGACATTAATTGCACAACTTATGTCTATTAGTGAATGGCAAAATTTAGCTGGTGGTAAGTTAAACAATAGGGATTAAATGACATTTTCGTAATATTATAAACAAATCGACAAAATATGGTATTAATCATTTTTAACTTATTTAGAAATGTTGAAATTTTTATTTGTTAATTTAAATATTTCATACGAATTTAACATTTTCAGAAATATTCATGGACATCTACATTTTATCGATATTTTCATAAAATTGAGATCTTGATATTTTCATGAAATTCAGATCTTGACATTTCTATGGATCTTTAAAATTACAAATTAGAATTTGAAACAGTCGTGATCAGTCAAATTTCCCCGTGAAATTTTGATATATACCTGAAATGTATTTATATTATTATATTTAGCCTTTATTATTTATTATATCTATTATTTTCATTTGCACAAAACTGAAAAATTTCTAAAAAAGAAAAGATTTCTTGAAGCTTCCAAATTCCAATGGACAAGATCATGCCACGTGGAAACCTCACAGTCAGTAAAAAAAAAGGGGAAAAAAATCTTCTTCTTCATCACTTCTTCTTCTCCATTCGATTTTCAGAAAACCCCTAAAAGCAAAAAATCTGAAACCCTTCTTCTCGCCTCCTCCATTTTTCCACCACCATGGCATTAGCCTCATCGCAGCAGAGTTTTCTCACCAATGTCCTCTCCGCCGCAGCCGCCGCCGCCGCCCGCTGCCCCCGACGGATGAGGAAGCTTCTCCATTCTTCCAATGCCGCCGTCTCCTCTAAACTCCCTCCCGCCGATGATCCCGAGTAAGTTCGATTGGGCGTTTTCATCCCAAGTTCCTCCACTCTTTGTTTTGTGATTGATTGGATTTGTTTCTGGTTTCTCTTGTTGTGTAGTGGATTTTCATTCAAGAGCGGGAGCGGAAATGAGAATCGGCTCGCGAAGCTTGCGATTGTTACTCTCGCGGCTGGGGTTCTGACTTTGGGATCGGTTCATGATGCGTCTGCCGCCAAAACCGGCGGCCGAGTCGGCGGCCAGGCATTCCGGTCGGCGGCTCCTCGGCCTTCGTCGCCGAGAATCAACAATAATTCGAGGTAACTTCGAATATCGGTAATATATAATTGGGTTCTTGCTTTGACTTTTTAAATTTTTCTTAGTTTATGGATTTGAAATTCATGAACTCATAGTGCCCGCAAGAATAAGGTACCGATTTTGATATTTTTTTTATCATTTTTTATTTTATTTTATTTTTTGCGTATCTGGTTCAATTATTTTAAGATTAGATATGGTTTGTGCTTATAAACCAAGAGTAGGCTTAGGTTTATGAAAAATTAACTACAAAGTTTAGAATAACTTTTCTTTTTGGTATTAAATTATCAAGTTATCCGCTGAGTTTAGTTTCAATTTAATTTTTATAATTTTAAGTTTCAATTTTTGTTCCCTTTAGACTTTAGTTTTAGCTTGGTGTCTATAATTTTAAAAGTTTTAAACTGGTCTCTAATGGTTGTCATGTTGTTCTCATGTTAAATGCCGGCCGCATGTTTTCTTTTTTCTTTTTTTAAATTTATTTAGGTAGCAATGAATTGATGTTTAGAGTTGAGTAAAAAATAAGAAAGAAAAAAGATGGAGAAAAATTAATTAAAGAATTATTTGTGAGGTGTAACTGAAATATAAAATGCGATGTTTGAATTTTTTAAAATATTAACCATCATAGGATGGTCCAAGTGGTCTATGAGGGACAATGTAAATAGCAAAGGAGTAGGGAATGGGTTCAAACCATGGTGGCCACCTACCTAGGATTTAATATCCTACGAATTTCTTTGTCAACCAAATATAAATGTAGTAGAGTTAGGACAGTTGACCTGTGAATAGTCGAGGTGACCATAAACTGGTCTGTAAAAAATAAAAAAATAAAACCAAAATAAAACTAAGAAACATGGACGTAATACGACATCAACATGAGCACATTGGCACAATAGTTTCTTAAAATCTATGACATAAACATCGCAATGACATGTTTAATATAATATACATTTTTTTAATAATATATTATTTTTTTACATTTCGATAATTCTCATGCTAGAGTTTGTTTTAGTTTAGGATGTCTACAATAAATGTTTTACGTTAAAATATTCAAGATAGATCCAAACTGCTTATCAATTTTCTAAGTGATTTAATATCTTAATAATATATATATATATATATATATATATATTAAAGTCTATAATGCTTATACATTTACGTGCTTTTCACGCTCAAAGTGTTCATGAGTATTCAACACATCTTTATTGTGCTTAACAAGTGTCCAGCATGAACCCAATGCAAGTATTAGACTCATATTCAATTTGTTCAATCTAGTGTCTAACATGTGGCTATTGTGCGACAAGTATCCTAACAAGTGTCAAAATGTTCGAAACATGCACATCTCTCAAATTTGATTATCCATGCTTCATAGGCCCAAACCATAGAGGTCGTATCTAACAAGAGTCAAAATGTTCGACACATGCACATCTCTCAAATTCGATTATCCATGCTTCATAGGCCCAAACCATAGAGGCCAAATTATAACTTTTTATTCATAGTTTAAAGATTGAAAATATAAAATCAGATAACCATCATGTGTGGTTCATTAGTCTAAAGAGACTAGAGTTAATTAAGGGATAATGAGTTCAAACCCTATGATGGCCACCTACCTTAGGAATTAGTAATTCCTATGTGTTTCTCGACATCAAATGTTGTAGGATCAAGCGGTGGCCCCATGAGATTAATCGAGGTGTGCATAAGCTAGCGTAGGAAGACTCACTTTTTGCATTATGCTCATACCTCACCCCACTATCTCGAAGAAGCTTCAGCCACTCTAGAACCAACACTATGAACCTAGGGCTCGGGCCTTGGGGCTTTGGAGGATATCTCCAAATGTCTCAAGCCGAGGGTCGCTCTGGGGTGATTCAAACCTAATTTTAAATATAAAAGACTTTTTTTTCCCATATATTTTGATAAATGTATATGATTTTGCAGGACAAATATCTACATAAATCCACCAGTGGCACCTCCTCTAGTAGGTGGGTATGGATTTGGGTATGGTGTGCCATACTATGGAGGGTGGGGATGGTCACCATTTTCGTTCTTTGCACCAGGCCCCTCTGTTGCTGTTGGCATTGGAGGAGGTTTTGATCTTCTTTTTCTCTTCATTTTTCTTGGTTCTGTTGCAGCTGTTGTGAGAAGATTCTTTGGAACTAGGGAAGATGATGATGATGATTATTAATTAATGGTGCCAAGAAAAAAAAATAATAAAAGATTCCAAGTTCATCTGGATGAGATGTTAGATTTCATACTCTATATTGACAATTTTGAACTTGCTTTCTTTTATTGTGGGGGAGTTTTTTTTTTTTTTTTTTTTTTGGGTGGAAAAAGGGTTGTTTAATGTATTTGTATAAGGAGAGACTGTGAGTTTACATGTATAAAATGTATAGAAAATTATGTAACGTTTGCCTTGAAATTGAAACTATTATAGGATAATTATTTTATTTTGTTGTTGAAATTTACTTAAATAATTTCCCTTTTTTTCATTTTTTAAATTTTATAACATACAGTTCGACTGTTGAGTTTTCCAAATGTCTATACTATATTTAGTTTGTTCTATTACGTTTCCTTTAATTTGATTTTTTTTCAATAATTTTATAATATCAATCATACAACGATATAGTTTCTAAAGTATACAAAATAATTCCATTTAATTTATTGCTTAGATAAGTTTTTCTTCACATAAATATATATAGTATATAGTACATTAAAACTCCTTTTCCAAAAGCTCTCAAGATAATCTTTATTACTATTAAATAGTTACTTAAAAATAATATTTGAAAATAAAATAAAGTTGTTCTCACCTAGTTTTGTTAAAAAAACCTCCCAAATACTTTTATTAACTTTTTAAATAAATATTAGTTTTTATGCTTTGAAATATTAAGAATTTAATAATAGTGAATTATTGCGGGATTCTTTCATAAATAAAAAGCAATAAGTAAATTATTATCCAATCACTTTATAAAATCATCCGTTGTCGTCCAGCGGTTAGGATATCTGGCTTTCACCCAGGAGACCCGGGTTCGATTCCCGGCAACGGAATTTTTTTCTTTTTTTTTCCCCTTTCATGACATTCTGTTCTCTCTGTTTCTGTCTCTCTCTCTGATTTTCTGATTCAGAATCCAACGAGAGAGAAATTCCAAGAGGCTGCAACAGAGAACACCAATCAAATCAAACAGAACTCTACAAATTCTCTATTCTCAACATTGACCAACCTCATTAAAATCGTAGAAACAAAGGAAAAGGACAAGTTGAACTCAGAAACTACGAGTGTGAGCAAGTAAAAGTTGAGAATGAATGAATGCTACTGCTACTCTATAAGCTGGACAGCTGCAATGGATGGTATTTTCTCTCTCAACTTCTGTGTTAGAGCAACTCGAACTGTCATAACCCCAGCTGCTGGCCCACTCAGCCGCACCTTAACTATATAATCACTTATCTCAACAAGTTCCAGGATCCCACCTCCGGTGCCTCCCAAGTATGGCCTAATCTCTGCAAGTACCTGAAAACACACACAAAACCCCTTCTTTTATCTTCTCAATTCTCATCTACCAACAAACACGCTACAAAAATGATAGGAATACTATTAGGGTATTGATATATTATTAATTATTTAGAGAAGTTGTTAGCGGATTTTTTTTAGTACAACAATTTGGGAATATGGGGATCGAACTTCTGACCTCAAAAGAAGGAGTACATGTCAATTATCGATGAACTAGGCTTATGTTAGCAAATTTGCTATAAACAGAGCATGATGAAGGATGGAGGTAGGCAATTGTTTTTTAGGCTCGAGTGACCTCAAGAGGAAGGATCTAAGTACCTTGAATTAACTTGGAGATTATTGTAATCCCTCTATCTTTTATCTTTCCATTTATTTCAACTATTTGAATTCTATCAAAACAATTGGGTATAGAAAGTTCATAAAAATACTTGAAGCCGCTGGATCTCTGAGAATTTTTGTAGGTGTTAGACTGTGCTCCGAAGCACCTTAAGATATTAGAACATTTATTTTTAAAACAGGGACTTAAATTTTGCCCATCTTAAATGTAAGTGCTTTTAAGTTCTTGTTCTACATATAGAAGAAGATGTTTGAATGATCATATATGGAAGTGCTTTTAAGTTCTTCTTCTACATATAGAAGAAGATGTTTGAATTGAGAGTCTAACCTTTTCAACATTTTCCTCATTAAGTTCAAGTCCTGTTTCAGTGTCCATGATCTGCTCAACTTCCAAAATTTCAGGAATTTTGTCTCTGAGTCTGGTCTCAATTCCCATCTTGAGTGTCATTGTTGAGCTTGGGCAAGATCCACATGCTCCTTGAAGCTTCAATATCACAACAAGCCCATCTATTTCATGCAAAGCAACATTCCCTCCATCGGCCATCAGGCTTGGCCTTACCTCATCCAACACCTTCTCCACATTCTCCTCAGTCAACGGAAGAACACAACTGGGTGATACCACACTCCCTTTGCAACAGAAAACCCACAAAATCCAATCAATTTGGAGTAAAAATTAATCTCATTCCTGAGATTGTGATTTTGATGTAGTGTGTTATGTTAATTAGTTCTACTAATAGTTTGTTCTTTGTTGACAGTTTTTTATTTTATTTTATTTTTTTGGTGTAATAGATATTTTGTGGTGTGATTGTTTTAGTTTCTTAGTTACTACAGTTAGTTGATGATTTTTCTACAAATAGAGGATTTATGCTCTAGTATTGGATGTTGGGTTAAATCACTAACTTTGAGTCCTAACTATATCTATTAAGTCTCTCGACAGTTAGCCGGTGATTTTTATATAAAATTTTAGCCTTCTGGGTCCTCAATTTTTAAAAGTACTCATAGGTTCTTAATCTATTGTTAGCCTATTAGACGTAACATTCAGAGTTTCAAATTTATTAAATACTTTTGTTAAAGACCTATTAGACATAGCATTGAAAATTTAAGTTCAAAGATATATTACACATGACTCGGAACCAAACTTGAGGCTATCTTTGTGAATTATTGGATTAGTGGATAGGCTCCATCATGAAAACAACTAGAGGGAAAGGATTTCCAAGAGAAGAAGTTGGAATCTGGAAGAGAAGTTGCTTCTGACTCTGCTAAATCATCTTTTTACTCAACCTGTTTATTAAAAATATTATCACAATATTGAACCACTTCAGTCTTCAACTATGAACTAACTAAAATTATCATCTTACAACTCCAAGAGTAGCCAAATTTTGAATTTCGTAATGAATCATAGTAATAGTGAAATCCGAAATGCTACCTATCTGACGCCTTCGAGTAAAATTCGACTTCAACCCAAGAAAGCGCCTGCCACAAAATTGACCTCTGAAGAACGAGCTCTGCTTCGAAGAATATCGGCGGGAACTGGGAACAGAAATCTGCTGCGGGAATCAAAATCAGCGCAAACAAAGAAAGGAATTGATCGAGAGTAGAAACCAACCTTGAAGAGCGGCAAATGGGAAGCCGAAGCCGAAGCTGAAGTTGGGTCAGACGGGGAACGATACGGCGTTGGAGTTGCGTTGAGAGGTTGAGGTCGAGTGGAGATTGCGCCCACCATTGAGATGCGAGCGAGAAACTGAGGGATAAGAGTTGTTAGGCCATTGGTTTCTGAATTTTAATGGAGATTTGGGCTCTGATACTGCAAAACGAAGGCATTTTGATTGGATGATGATGGAGAGGAGGAAGATCAGTGAGCAGAAAATTGATGAAATTTGTGGATTGAACTTGAAAATTAGCCACACGTTGGGTTTTTGCCATGGACAATAATGGAGAAGCCCTTAGTTTTTTTAGTCGGACATTATCTCTTTGATATTTGAAGTTTAATAATTTACTATATTATGGGATGAAAATTCGAAGTCAACATCTTTTCATCGGGATGATACCTTAAATATTATTTATTCCATGAAACATAGTTCAGTGTTTAAGATAATTGTCTTTTCCTCCTATCATTTCATTTTATTGGATTACACATCAAATTTTAGATTAAACTTTAAGTTAAAAGAAAAAGGAGTTAATATCCTTTCCAAGAATTTTCTTTTCTTTTTTTTTGATAATTTTGTCCTCCCTTCCACCAAAGCTAAGTAAAGAGATCGAAGGAAAGTAAAGTTTTGATCAGTAAATTTTTCTATCATTCATGTATCATTGATCGGTAGGGGGATTTTCATCTCTTGTCCATTTTTTCCAGTATTTTCGTTTTCGTACCACAAAAATTAGAAATAGAGAATCTATATTCAAGAAAGGTCTAACAATTGGAATAATAGTATCCATTGTTATTTGATTTGATACATTGTGGTCAATAACATAGTTGAATTAGTACGGAAAGAGAGGGATTYGAACCCTCGATAAACAAAAGCTTGTCCGAAGTTTTTGATTAGGTGCTTGCATTTTTTTAAGTATAATAAGTGGTGTCAGAAGATTTTGAATGCAAAATCTCTTAATAAGGGATCCTTGAGCTAAGGTCAAAGTTGACTATTGTTTTCATTCCTCCATTCTTGATTAGTTTTTTATGTAAATATTAATTGTTTGGTTCTATCAAATATCCTTTGGCTGCATTAGACATTTGGTTATTGCGTTAGAATGACTTTTTTTTTGTGTGAAAATTTTAATGAATAAAAATTTACATTATCATATTTGTAAATATAATAACAAAATATACGGTTATTTTTTACAATTTTCATTTTCCTATTTAAATATTTTTACGTAATTATACTGATATATTATTTTTTATTTTATTAATATGATATATCAATAATAACCAAATGACAAATCAACATGCAAACAGAACATTAAGAGAAAACGTAAGTTTCATAATTGTTGTTACACCATTTCTTATCTTATTGATACTATATATATGTGATGGATCAGATTAAATCAGCATGAAAAATTAACATGAAAGAAAACTAAAATTATATAATTAATAATATATCATGTTAATTATATTGATGGTGCATATGTGATAGACAAAATATTAAATAAATATTTGAAAAGAACAATGATAGAAAACAAAAATTACATAATCAATGATATATCATTTATACATCAGAGATAGACCAAGTAGTAAATTAGCATTAAAACAAGACACTAATAGAAAATAAAATTTACATAATATCATTTCTATTGTATTGATATGATATTATCGATGATAGACTAAATATCAAATAAGCATGTAAATAAAACATGACAAAAAAATGAAAGTTATATAATCACCAATGTACCATTTTCATTCTATTGATACGATAAATAAGTGGTAGACCCATAACGAGCCAATAGCAATTAATCTTTAAAGAAAATTTAAAAGTAACCAAATTTTATTGATTAAGCTAAATTAAAATTATGATTTTGTGTTAGATCCCTAGCCTATTGCAATTTTTTTAATTCACGAATCTATTATAGATAAAATGCTAGACTTTCAAATTTGTCAAAGAAATTTATGAATTATAAAAATAAAACCTATCAAATAGATAAAGATCTATTTTAACAAAAAGTTAAAGAACGTATTACAAACAAAACTAAATTTTGGAAACATACCTATTTTTAAAGTTTAGAAACCCAGTACACACTTGATAAAGTTTAATAAGTTTAATGACTTATTAGACGCGTGCATGAAAATTATAACATTTGCCCTGCAAATTTTCAAGCAATACATTATAAGTATCAAAATCATCAGTCTAATTGGTCCAAAATAATCAACTCACTATCAAGTTTAATAAAAAAAAAGGGAACCCTATAAAATGGGTCCTTTTTCTTATTTAAATCATCTGAATGTAGAGAATATAAGCAGTAACACAGATATTATTTATCACTGAACATTCAGACAATCAAAAATAAAGTTCTATCAAGATAAATTGAATTTATGACAAAATGGTAATTGCAAATAACCATTTTACCTGAAAATATACTAATTTTGTGTTCAGACAGACACATCATGCTGGGTTTCTTTCCCACAAAAAGCCACATACTGTTCATATTACTCTCTTGTCCAAAATCTATCTTCCAATCCAAAATATGGAAAATAAATAAGAAAAAGAGAGGGCAGATTGTCTTTCTCTTGCCTAGATCCACTAGTTATTTAAAACAATTTACCTGCATCAGAGAAGAACAAAAGATTATTATTGAAAATAAAGCATATTATTCTAATTACAGATGACAGTACATTAATGGGAGTATCAACAGATTTCTGCTATAAAAACTCATTCCCACTGCAAAAGTGAAAGTCGGAGGAAAGCTTCCTTCCACTTTAAAAGTGAGTTTGAGATTACTTAAAATCAATTTTCTAATTTGCTAAACATGAAATGGAAAAGAAAGTGATTTTAACAATGGCAAAAGATTTTGGATATTCCAAAATCACTCCCAAACACATCCTTAATCAGTGATTCTCCTAAATGAGTGCTAACAGAAAAAACTATTTTTAGTTAAAAGCAATTTTTTCAAAAGTCATCACAGACCGGCCCTAAAACCGGTAATTGAATTTTTTACAGAAGGGTGAACCACAAATAATCAGTTTTTTTGCACTAGATATTCAAAGATGGAACACCCATTTTTCTAATTTTTCTGAATTCTGTTTAGTTCCCTTTCTTTTTCTTGTTTCTGGAGCAAAGACTCAGTGACAATATTCATAGCCACGATTCAGCCCAGAAAAGTAGATTGTCTATTGCAAAGAAACGCGGAACTTTCAGTTGAGGTACCTGATACATGTGAAGTAAAACAGTGATGAATTTTTCAGATGCCCTGGAGGACTTTCTGAGGATCAAGTTGCCCACTACAGTAACTTGAAGGAACAGCAGAAAGTTCCAGTCTTCCTCTCCATTCCTCGCCAGGTTTCAGTGTAATCGGCTTTTCAATCGCAGCAGCTTCCACACACAGCATATACTTGTACTCTTCATCTCCAAAATCAGTCATTGCCTTTGCTTTCTTATCCCACGGATTCCAGACCACTGCACCAACCAATAAAACGATATGGTGAGGTTCAAACATGGAATCTCAATCTCCTACCACTTCTTGAGGAACCCATTTTGGGGGGACGCAAAATCAGAACAGAAGCCATTAAATTGGCATACATTTTAAGTTAAAGGAAGTTCCAAGAAATTGTAAGCATCTAAAATCCTTATCTAAGTATTTATCCCCAAAGTTGATCGTTGGGCGAAGTCTATATCCATCCAAAATCCCTACTTGCATGTCTAGAAATTCTACTTATTCAAACATGAAAGAAAATGGACTCCATTACCTAATTTTTGTTCCTTTTCATTCATCAATAAAAAATTCATTTCTTGTTAAAAAAAAGGGCAAGGAGGAATTCCTCAATGAATGGTATGCTGTGCAACATTGATATTTTATATTCATGGGGGAGGGAAGGTCACAAGCAAGCTCCTTGAGTTTTTTTGTGATTAGTTTGCTTTTTGGAGAGGGCTGCCTTGGCCCCTGTCCGTAGGCTGTTCTACTCTTTTGTTCCTCTTAATGAAATGTTTCTTATCCCAAAAAAAAAGGAAAAAAAAAAATTATCTCCAAAGGAGTAAGCCTTAGCTGCTATTATTTCCAACGTTCCTACTACTATCACTCTATGAAAATCCCATCTAAAGGACAAAGAAGACAATGAAGAAAGAATGTTTAGAGGGAACTAGAACCTTGTTAATTGAAAACTTACTTACCTGTGAATTTGGATAGTTTGATCCTCAACTACATTAGTAAAAAGAATTATCTCGTGTCTGGCTGTGATTTCACTTGGTGCATGACATAATAAATGGGTTTCATTTTTGTCTAACATAATGATAGGATTTCTGTTTATATTGGTTAGTTAGGCCTAAAGGGAGCATATCTTGGCAGCAGCAATTGTACTTGATTTGAAACTTGCAATTACTTCCAGTAGTCCCAAGAATACTCCTCCAGGAATTTTTCCGTATTTTATGTTTAGTTCCCTCAAAGTCATTGGCCATTTCAATTTTTAAAATAGCCTAATCAAATGTGAGGGGAAGATTTGAGGGGTGAAATCAAGGACCCAAGGAACGAGGCCAATTATCTGTTTTCCTACATGGAATTCCCCTGAAAGGATACAGTTCACGGAGACCTTAGAATAAGATGAGATACAGGATGGCTGACCTCTAGGGGAAGATAATGCTGAAACTGCTCCTATTCCGAGCAATGTTAAGTAGAAAAGAAATCATGCAAATAACAGCAATTATAGGATGTTTCCTTTCACTATCTCAGAGGACCAGAGTCGATCTTGAAATTCATCATCTTTGAAATCTTATAAAACTGAGATTCCAGCAGCACACTGTTCCATTCCACATTTGGGCGACAGTTCTGTAGGAACCTATGGAGAGGGCATAGAGATTGGGATAGAGAGACTAGGGGTCTAGAGAGGAAGAAATCTTTCCAGGGCTCTTCGAAATTTTGACAGCATTATCATTTGTAAACCAATCCGTAGGGGAGAAGTCATATTTACCTAAAATTTCAAATAATTTACAGAGTTTGCAATCCATACAACATAGGGTTAGAATACACCCTACTTCTTAACGACTCCATGAATGCTGAGGTGTTTATTCTTAGAGCACTCATGTCCCTAAGAGAGACAACAAGTATTGCACAATCACAATCTACAAATAAGAGTGCTAGGACTGTGATGAAGTATCCTTAGCTCCTCCCCAAAGGCATAATCCTATATCAAATTTAAGAGTAAGCTTGACTCCAAAACACCAGTCACACCCATAATCCATAAATAAGAACATTAGGAGTTTCTTAAAATAAGATCTAATAGCTGCTGCTCCAAAATCCCCAAACTAGGATGAACTGGCCCAGATATGCCGAGGGTCTATCAGTCCTATGGGCCTTGACAAGCAATGCAATTGATGAAATGCCAAGAACATCTTCACTTTCAGGTTCTGTAGAACTGATATGTACTAATTTTCTTCTCTCATATTTTTCTTAACTCCTGCCTGTGCCATAAAACCTATGTTCTTGCTGAATATCAATCATTAAGTCCTAACCTGACTCTCAGACTGGAAAAATGCCAATTCCACACGACAAAATTGGTGGCGAACTTCCTGGTCCAATGCAGTCCTTTTTCCTTCCTCTGATCTCCTAGCCCTGATCCTCTCACTCTTAGCTTGAATTAAGCATTATATGCATAATTTTTATCTATGCATAACCTAGATTCACAGCTGTTTTGTTTTAAAAAAAATATTAAAAAAAAGTATCTTTCACCTGTTTTCCCACTAGTAGTTCCCAGACCTCTTGCCAACAGATGGATCAATAACCCATTATGATTGATGATAAACAGTCGGGGCGTGACTTTACTCAAATAATCTTATTGGTCTCTCATTTGGGGTAATCACACTTAGAAAGAGAAAACAGACATGGGAATTTCTTACCAGCATCTGGGAGTCCATCTTTTCTAACCACAAAAGTCCTCTTCTTTTCATGATCCAGAATTGCTATCTTAGTTGGAGTGCTAAGATATATCTTGTCCATCTATATAAACCAAACACCAAAGAGATAGTCTTGATCACAATGAAATAACAAAAAGAACGAGAAGAAATATAATACTCGAACTCACTTCTGATTCAAAAGTTAAAGCATCCCCCTGTTCAGTAAAACGCTCTCGATGTTGCAAGTTGTCAAGATAGTCCAAGGTCTCCAAACCTTCCACCCGAACTTCACTGGCCACAGGCAACTATCTACTTTAGATACAATATAAACTAACTTTGCATTACTCTAACAAATTTTATCACAGTTTACAATAAAGATATTCAGACAAAAATATTCAGTGGTAAACCGTAAATCTAATTCTGTCCGCTTATTTCCATTTGATTAAGAAATACGGAAAGAGAAAGCACAACTGTAGTAAATAAATAAAGAAATTTTCTTTTAATAAGAAATAAGAGAGATTTATTTTTTTAACTGAAACTTTTAGAAAAGGACCTAAAGATGTCTTTCTTCACCAAGATGCAAATAGAAAACCTAAAAGCATCTGAAAAGCAACCAAGGCATATCATCGAAAACATCAATGAAAAAAAAAATCTTCAATAATTATGATAACACATTGAATCGACATCTTTCCACAATCAAGTTTCTTGCTGAAGTAGTAGTCCAAGTTCAACTAACTAACAGAGTTACAAAAACCCTCCACTTGACTTGTATATTAAAAGAATAGCAATTACAAAAATATTTTGAAAGAGTAAACCATCTAGACATCCAAAACATGATTTATAAAAAGCATCCTGTGCAATAGCAAAAGAATCCTCAAAGTGTTCTCTAATTTCTTTCTAACCAAATATAGCTCACAACACCACACGAGCCTAGAGTTTCCAAAAAATAATTCCTTTCACCAGAGAAATTCACATGAAATATGCCTTATACACGGAAGAAAACAAGTGATGATCTATCAATATCTTGTCCCTACATAGTTGTCAAATGCAATCAAACTAGGGTAAACCAAAGTTGCATAATTTCGATGATAAAAACGACAGGGATGGTTGGGGAAGAGATTTAAGCTTCAACTTGCTTGAAAAACGAGGTGAACATGAATATTTTCTAAATCTTGATGACAGAAACCACAGGTATGAGCTCTGTCTTGTATGGCTTAGGCCATAATAACTCTACCTCCTTTTGACTGTTTTAGCTAAATATTTAAAAAAACGCAGACAAGTATTAAGTCAAGTTGCTAGTACCTTATATCTGATACTGAAAAGTAAGTGTGATAAGCAAATGTGAAGGAAAAAGGCTTTCCATCTGCATTGGTATTCCTAACACGTGAGGTCAACAGTAGCTCTCCAGCAGGTCCTAGAGCTACCCTCAGACGGTACTCATAACTACAATTTAGTCAAATAATGATATTGTTATTGACTGAAGCATGGAAATTTTTGAGTAATTGAAATGGAAATGCTGCAAGAGCCGTATATGGAATTTTCAAGAAATCAGTGAAAGTAACACGTTTCACATTATACCTATGTGGCCAAACCTTTGCATCGTCCTCAGAGGGTTTTAGGATTAGATCAACAAAAGTCTTACTAGAGGTATTCGCTTGAAGAGGAGGTGGATTATTATCAATGCTCCAAAATCTGTTTCTAGCAAATCCATGGGCCTCAAGTGGACCAAGGTTCGAAAACTGCAATGAATGGTAATTATCATGTACCAGGATGAAACCCACAGACCATATAAAATCCATTCCATGCATTAAACTCGCAAAGAAGCACATACTTGAGGAAAACATATTGGAATCCCTCCACGAATTGGTTTCGGAGGCTTGAAAATGGCCTGCACAACAAGAAGAAATATCATAAATCATTTTGATCAATCATCCTGAAGTTACAAGAAAGTAAGTGTCAAGGATTGCAGCTGCAAGCTCAGGCTCTTGCTACTGCCGATGATAAAAATACTGATGTCAAAGAAAATAATCATGTTTTGACTTAACATAAAATTTCAATTTTATTATAAAACAGAATTTTATAAATTTAAAGAGTTCAAGTAAATGGAAACGGTATCAAGGATATAAGATTTAGCAGGAAAATAGAGACCACCGATGACAATTATGATCTTTTTTTCTTTCTTTCTTTTTTTTTTTGAGAAGAAACATGAATGAATTCATTGACAGATCAAATATTATGGAAAGGGAAAAGATCCCTAGAGCCCAAAAATGCCAACTATGATCTTATAAGTGTTAGATTAAAAATAATGTAAATCATTTGAATGATCTCTGAATTTTAATTATATACTAATTTTTCATAAGAAACAACATATTCAAGGACAATCCAAAAGAGTCACAAAGTAACGGTTGGGTAGAGCCCCCACCAAGTAACAGCTCCAGTCAAGGTTAATAATAGAACATAGTGATTATAAAGGTTTTTACTTTTCCCGAAAGTTAAAATTACGCCACAAATTGGGGGGAGGGGGAGATGGGGTTCATACTCCTCCCAGGGATGGAGGAAACATGGCCACCAAACCAGTGAGCTACATGTTAAAGCTCAATTTCACAAAAATTCATTGTGAAAGGCACTCCAAGAATGTTGGACAAATAGTTTCCTTCGTTCTTTCTATTATTCTAACCTATAATTCTCCTCTAACGTATCACTTATCAGCATCCAACTACCAAGCTCTAAATATCTTTCATTCAGCATATAATGAAGAATTTAGATGCAAGGAAGGGAGCTTATCAAAAAAGATGAAAATTATTCAGTTGGTAACAAAAAGAAAATCCATAGTACCTTACTACTAACAAAAAGCAGCTCTTCCCCATGGTCATTCTTCCAAGATGTCACGTGGGCCCCATATAAATAGACCTGGAGAGATTAAAAAATTAATCACTAACCACATAAGAAGACAAAAATATGCTTCTGAAGACTGACCAACCCTATGTAAGATATAAATCTGGAATTGAGTATTATGGTAGTAAGCAAGAACAATAAATTCATTGACAAAAGTACTTGTAGTTATCAATGAAAATTAAAATAAGAAGAAGAAGAAAAGTAATATACAATTATGGATTAAAAGGAGCTAATGGGCTTTTGAAGTCACAGAATTGTTTCTCCTACAACCCCTCCCTCTTCTGAAGGGGAAAACAAAGTGTGAAGCCATATATCGTTCCTATAATTCACACTTCAACATTAGAATCAGATCGGAAATGCGATGCCGCAAAACAAGCATGTATCCAAGTTCCAATAATGGGTATAATTCTACAAATATTCCGCACAAAAGTGGCGGAAAATGGCCGAGCCCAGTTTTGAACCAAGATAACATAAATACACGAACAGATCAAAATGTTTAAAACCAAGAGAATACACAATTCAATCCAGAAATCCACTAAATGAATCGGAAGTCACCCAAAATTAAAAAATCCCAACTAATTGCACTCCCTCGATTACAATCGAAAGAAAACGAGCACTCTCAGTCAGGATCAGATCAGTTCCACATTGGGGTCACGAACAAATCAAGCCAAAACAAAATCCTAAATCCAAAAGCAATCATCTCTCTCCCTATTCATTTCTCAATTACTCAATTCCCAGAGCATACCTCAGCAGAACTGCCACGAGGGTCGCGAAGGACGACTTTGTCGAGGCCATTGATGCCCTTAACGACGTCCACAGAGCCCGAAGAAGCCCCGGACGTTGCCGCAACCTTATCGCCGCTCATTTGGTAAGATTTTTTGCCGTTGGAATTCCTCGCCGTGGGTCGTGTTCTTGCTCCTCTTTCAGATCGGAAATCTCAGCAGAATCGAGGCCTTAATCCATAGCCATGCGCTTGGAATTTGGTTTTATAATGGTGGCGTTGGCATTTTGATCAGAAACTCGAAAACAGTCGTCTTCAAGTCACTGCAAATCTGGGAATCTCGTGAAACTCCTTTCTCTGGATTGCCTTTTTATTTTTTTGTCTTTATATTAAAAATGTGTAAATTGAAAAAACAATAACTTTAAATTCCGTTTTCGTTTCTTAAATTTATTCTATTTTTGTTTCTAAGACCTAAAGACATGTTTGATGGATACAAATATAACTGCCTTCGGTATTTTTTTTATTTCCATTTCTTAATTAAAAAAATCATAAACATCTGATAACGGTATCTTATATTTATTATGCATTCTATAAATAAAAAACTATAAAACAATAATTTTATTTATGTTTTTTATAGATAAAAAATAATGATAATGAACTTGGTAGCATAATTTTGAAAAATTTTGAAAAGTGGAAAACAATAAACGGGAACATAAACAATTATCATGGGATGGTCCAAGTGGTCCATGAGGGCCAATTTAATATTCTATAAGTTTAATAGCCAATAAATGGAAATGTATCATTTTTTTTCTTTTCCACTAATCTCACGAGACAACTGTCCGATCCTATAACAGAAAGACATTCAGATTACTCATTCTAGGTGATATTAATCCAATTTTGAAACTAAGGTGTTTTAAAAATTAGCATGAGCCATTTTCTCAAAAAAAATAAATAAATAAATAGAAAAAGAAATTAGCATGAGCCATGAAGAGGAAAATGAAATTTCACATCTGTTTTTTATTCTTTTTTCCTTATTTTTTTTTATTAGTCTATTATCATTTTCTCACATCTATTTTGGGATCGCTTCCTTTTGCAGAAGAAGACGAAATGAGGTCCAGATTTTTTCCATTTCTTTCGCAATCCTCAATCGCGTAGAATCCTCTTCAATTCAAACTCATTCCAGGTCGTCTTCGATCAACCAACCATTTTTTGCTGCTTAATTTGTTCTCACGTCTCACATATCTTCAACTCGTTGCGGAATGCGGAGATTTCTGACCATAATTCTTCCTTTCTTTGTAGGATCCGGATCGCTTTCCTCGAATCTTGTTTCTCAATCTCAAGGAATCATAAATACAAGTCTTGGATTCGACGCAACAGCAACGTCTCCCCTTCCCATTCGCCCACCGAAAGGTTCTCTGTTTTTAGTTTAAAGTTTCTACAAGGTACACTTCTAATTCTGGAATGAACTTGAGTAGTGTTTCAATTGGAATTAGGGGTGTTAAGAAAAGAGGAAAAAAAACTGAACGAATTGGTTTATATTATAAATTTAATCTTCTTTTATGAACGAATCCAATTAGGTTGTGATATAGTTTTAGTCACTACAATTTAGAAAGTTCAAAAAGTTATATTGGATCAATCCTTACTTGAATATCAAACATGCATCTTCAACTTGGAGTCGAATTTTTGAAAATGAAAGGGCTGAGTGCAAGAAAACTTAAGAGATAGAGATAAGAAAAATCACACTTTTATAAGTTTATTGTCATCTAAAATATTACACTCTGCTGTACACACTGTTGTACTTCCTCAAGAAATGCAAATCAAAGAAAACTAAATTGCAGACCACCTAATTTCTCTCCTGAAAAAAATTGAATGAAAAAATAAAGCTGAAAACTAAACATATGTTCTGAAGGAAAAAAATGCAAGCTCACAACATAGCATTGACTTTAGAATGAACACCAAATGCTTAATGAAAAGAAAAAAATAAAATAAAAAAATAAAGACAGTCTGCAATTGACCGCAAGCAAAAAAACAAAACTCGAGTTTTGTCCATCAATCATGAACACAAGTCTCTGGGCAACAGAAGCAGCTAAAAATGCACTGAAGTTGTCCCTTCCGCTCCTTACCAGTTGAGTTCAACCAGTTCAGAAAGCTCCTTACATCCAACAACGTATAGATTTTGAAGCCAAGCTTCTTCCACTGGTAACATATTACTGCAGGAAACTGAATGAAATGACCAAAGGAAATCATACAAGAAGAGTTAGAATAGTTGAAGGGCCATTTTATGCTTATTCTGTTTCCATTTTGGCAACTTATAAAAGGCGTCCTTTGTCATTCCAAACTTCTCCCTGAACTCTTCTGATGACAGGTATGTCTGCAGAGTCGCAAATTTAAACATCTCAGAACAGACCATGATAAGAATCTATAGACTCAAGTTGAAACATTACTGTTCTAATGTTACCTCTCGTTTTGTCACATCAATGTCTAAAACAGGGTTGGTTGACGTAGTTTTTAGACTTTCATATGGATATATTGTGAGGCCTTCATCATCTTCAGCCTCGCCTTCTTTCACATCTTCTTGTATGGTGAGAGTTTCAATTCTGACTGTCATTGAGTTGTTCTCCTTATCCTTAACCTCCTTACCATTGTTATTAGTCTCTGGTTTAGGCTTGGGAGGCTCTGGAGTCACTTCACCAAGATATAAGGTAATTACGTCAGGTACAAATGCCATGAAAATACCCTCCACGAACTTATAAGTCGAAGCCTACCTTTTATCGAACGCGGTATAATAGCTTCTCGAGCAGGTGGTGGCCGTTCAAAACTAGCACTAAGGTCTGCTATTGTTGAAGATTTTGCAGCAGCCAATTTTGCCGAATCTGGGCTCACTGATTTTGGGTAGATCTTTCTAACAACTGGGGGTGGAGTAGAAAGGTTCCGTGCACTGGGGTTCTCAAAGGTAGCAGCCAATGCATTGAAAGCAGGAGATCTTCCCCTCACACGGACTCTTTCAGGACTAAAAGACATGCTTCTAGAGCGCTGCGATTTGTCTGGCACTGCAGACCTCCCTCCATATGATACCGGTGTTCTCCGCTTTGGTTTCTGAATAATAGGGAGTTGAAGTCACTTCTAAACGTGGTATGCAATAAAGACCAGGAAACTAGGAAAAGAATGTGAAGAGCGCAGTTGGCGATCGTGATTGAGGGAAGATGTAAAGTGTGTTATAGACTTGGATTATATTTCATTACAATCTGCAATAGCTTAGCAAACAGAATTGAAACTACAGAAGGCTTACATCTACAGCAGGAGTGCCCCCGCTTTTGACTATGGTAAGTTTCCTTTGGAACGAGTTTCCGTGCATCTGTTTACGATTGAAAACGTTAGTCTCTTGCAGATATTTTGTAGGCATATATACTGAAGTTAATAATTGTTGAATGCTTACTGAAGACTTTGCAGAGTCCCAGGTAAAGAAGCGTGTGAAGAAAGGGGGCTCACTTCCTTCCGTGATAATGTACACTGGAGCTTTAGAAGATAGATTTTCTAACAGAAAATCATGCTCAAGAAATTTCTGTTGCAATGGAAAGAAAATTACCAGTAGTGAAAAATACCACATATCCACAAAAAGTTGTCCAGAAACATTCTTTTGATTAAGGTTAGTAGGAACATCATTGAGCTCAAAAAATAGTGATGAATGAACAAACTGAGAACTTTTAGTTTCAGACTCTCAAGATAAGAAAAGGAAATAGAACTTATGACATTGATATATTAGCAACTTTAGGTATCAGTAGAATGCCATGAAATTCAAATGAAACAGCTACAGATCGAAGAAAACTAACATGTGAAGTTGGCTGCCTTGAGCTTAGAAGATTAAGAAAACTATCAAGGAAATATATATTGTTCATACCTCACCAACAGTTAAAGCATGAACTCTAGCCTTGGACTCGACTTGTTGGCCGACCCACACATATATCTCTGAGTGATTATCCAGAATGTATATGTCTTCAGTCATCAAATCATCTTGATCAAAGTTATATACCTCGACCACCTGAAAATTTTCACATTAACCAACCTTCTTGAGAAAGACACGGTATCACTACTCGCTTGTTAATGTTTTGAATGCTAAAGTATAAAAATACATTGGCATTACGAACAAGAACTAGATCACTTCAAGGGGTAACCTAGTGATGTGCATGAGGGCTTGGGATGTTTGGAGATAACCTTCGAGTTCATAAGCTCGAGCTTAGGTTGATAATTTAATAACTTAAATCCTGAAGTCTTTATAGAGATCAGGAAGGGTCAAGTGTTAAAGCATAATGTTAGGATTGGAGCTCTTGATATATAAATTATTGCAAAAAAAAAAAAAAAAAAAAATTGAATATGAAAAGTAGGACACCCTAAGAAAACCGATATACAATTTATGGACCAAAGTGAGAAGTACCTTCAAATTCCCTGCAAGTTTTCGTCATGGGCGAAATCATCACAAGTTCACAGGAAAAGGAGTCAGATTTAGAAGTATAGCAGACGAATAATACAGGATAGAACATAAACTTTCACCAGCAGGAAGATTTACACAGACCTTTAGAGAAGGTACAAGAAAATAGGTGAGGATCACTCTCAGCATCTCGTCCAATTTTCTGGCTAGGATATTCAGATTTGCCTCCCAGCAAATTCCAAAATTGTTCAGTTTCTGTACCTTCTTTTTGTGATCTGGATTGTACATTGGGCTGATGACAGTTAAAAATTGTGTAAGAATTCGATAAGAAAACGATATGCAAAACAAACTCAGTTAAGCAAGACTCCTCTGCCAAAACGAAACACTTGGTAAAGCTCACAAAGGAATTGCATATTGATTTGACATGAGATAGATGCAACAAATTTATGTAATCAAACAGCATAACTTCCGGAATATTTCATACAGAACATCTCTGAGAAATCAAACTCTGCTTTTAAGGAGAGAGGAAACCACACAACCTTTATCAAATCGAGCAATCGCTCGACGAGTTCTTGATTATCTGAGCTGGTAAGGCTTCCAGACCATGTAAAGACAGTGGAACTGCTATTCAATATGTAACAGTAGGAGGAGTTCAAAGACGATGCAACCTGACAAGGGAGAAAAAGAATGGGTAATGTTAAGAATGTATATAAAAGATCAAAAATACCTTAATTTTATCTGTTTAAGCTTTGGGGTTTAGTAGTAGTTATTTGAATTTCTCCAATGTTATTTTCCCAAATTGATGTCTTTTGTCATATGTGTGAATGACTAAAGAGCAATGGAATCTCTTCAGTAAAAGTACTGACTGGTTCAACTTGTATCGCTTGCATATTTTCAGGCCCAGAGCCCTGCACTCTAAATAATGCAACCCCATCATCTTGGTAAGTTTCGTCCTGTATGCCCTTCTCTGCAACATAATTCTTGTATCCCTCACTTAGGCCTCCCTGTAATTATATTTCATTATATTTTCTTCAATCAATCAAAATGCATATATGGAATAAGGAAAATAAGATTTTTCCTATAACTTTATTTAGCTGCAGATTGAATTTAACAAACCTTGAAGACAATAAAGCTCTGGAAAATTGAATAAAATTGTATCGGCTCGTTTCCTTCGTACATGCGTGCCTAGAACACAATGAAATGAAAGCTTTCAGAAACAGGAAGATATTAAAGAAATGAATGTACATCATCAACTGACAATAACAAACAATCCAAGTGATGAATCTACCTGGACTGGAAGAAACTTTAATGACTCAACCATCTTGTTTACTAGTGATAATGCTGAAGCTCTTTCTTCCTGGAGGAGATGCACAAAAAAGAAGTCCAAAAATAACAAAGCCTTAGATCAGGGTGAATTCATGTAGTACAAAATTAGTAAGGGTGTACATGACAAACGACCATATCATTTATTCGGGGAATTTGGCTGTATATTTGAGAGCTTATTAAATTTAATACTTCCCTTTCTTGTGGGTTCGATTTCTAATTAATTAGGTGTTATTCCTTTAGATTTGAGCCTCTTTCTCTAGGGGCACCCTCTTCTCGAGCTGATCTTTGTATGCCCTTATATATTTATTTCTCTCAATGAAAGTTTAGTTTCTCATTCATTATTAAAAAAAAAAAGAGACAATATTATCCTAACATTAATTAGATAGGTAGAACATAGGAAGAAGAGTAAAATTTAGATGCACAAAAAACAAACACTAGTGTTCCCATCAGCGTGCCCATGTGAAACAATACGTTTTCTTTTAATATATTGTTGAGTGTCCAAGCTAGTTTACATGCCCTCAACTAATTTCACGATATGACTACGTAATTTTATTCCATTTGATTGTCAAGAGAAATTTATAGGATATTAAGTTTTAGGTGGATAATTACACATGGTTTGAAATTATTCTCTAAGATCCCTATGCCTTCCTTACAAAGTGGATGATTTGATTGTGAAAAATTTTAGTAGCTCGCTGCTAAGAGGTAAAGCTAAATGCAAATTTCGTGCCCTGTTGTGGCTAATTTTGAAAGAAAGGAATAGTAGGCTCTCCAAAAATAAAAAGTTTTCGGTAGATTCTTTTGTGACAGCCTACAATATACTTCTTCGTGATGATGCATAAACCACACAATTCTTTTGTAACAATAGTCCCACTATGCTTATAAACGATTGGAAAATTCTCAATGTTTAGTGTTTGGGAGGGGGTGACCTCCACCCTATGCTCCTAGGCTGTTTCTTCTCTTTTGTGATTAATAAATTTCCGTTTCTTATAATAAAAAGCACCTATTCTCTCTAAGCCTTTTACTCTTTTTTTTAACATGTGGTTAATCTCCTGTTCTAATTTCAAAACAATATAAAGCCAGATCTCCTAAATTACAAAAAAGTTTATCAACATTTGAATACATAACAATTGTATCTCTCTTACTTGGATCTTCTCCCTTTTTCAGAGAGAACATACAATGAACACTTGCAAAGTGTATTAATGAATAACAAGCCATGTTCCAAGTCCTAG